GATTGCGCAAGTTCAACCCTGGTCCCCACAGGAAGCAGATTTTTCCAACGCCGCAATGACCCAGAAGCAGCAAACACCCTCCTACTCACCTCAGCGATATGTGGCGACCAAGATAGAGTGGAGTCAAAAAGAACGCCAAGATTTTTAACAACATTACTGTAAGGCATAGGGAAGGAGTTGAAGAAGAGCGGGGGAATAGTGGCATTATTTGATTTGGCGATTTGCTTCGAACCTCCAACGACGATGGCCTGCGACTTGTTAGGATTGACCGTTAGGCCATGGGTTCGACTCCAATCGTGTATAGTCGCGAGATCGTCATTAAGTTCGGCGATTAAATTGTCCATGTCGTACATAGGAGACTGAGAATAAATCTGAAGGTCATCGGCGTACAAGTGATACTGGCAAGAAAGTAAGGGAGTAAGGAAGTTTATAAAGACGGAAAAAAGAAGAGGAGAGAGAACCCCGCCCTGAAGCACACCTGCAGTAACGTCACTGAAGCTAGAATGCTTATTGTCGACACGAACACATTGCCGACGCCCAATGAGATAGTGGCGAAACCAATCCACTACCAAATCTGACACAAGGACTGATTTCAGCATTGCTAACAGGATATCAAAGTCAACAGTATTGAACGCGTTGCTAAAATCTAAGAGAACTAATACTGTCAGATGTTGATTCGACATACCCTCGCGAATGCCATCAGATACCTTGGTTAAGGCAGTAACAGTGCTATGCCCTGAGCGGAAGCCAAATTGGAAAGGACTAAGGATATTGCACGAGTTCACGAATATTGTGATCTGGCAGTGGACAAGACGGTCAAGAACAACAACAATACAAATACAATAGAAATACACACACAATGAACAATGAACAAGAACAATAGAAATAGGACGAAAGTGAGAAGGTAAAAATGGATTAGAGGTTTTAGGTATAGGTACTACAGCAGCTTGACGCCAGCAGCTCGGGAAGGTGTCAGTGTCGAGAGAAAAGTTGAAAATATGGCAAATTATAGGAACAAGAATTGAAGAACCTTGTAAGATCATCTTACGGTTTATTCCATCCAGCACTTCAGCGTTGGATTTAATATTTTCCTCAACTTCGCCTTCGAAAGATATTTAGAAAATTATTTTTATTGTATTTGCATTAGAACACGCAATTTCCTGTCTCAATAAAGGCTTCCGGGGTCATGAAAATGATACGAGGTAATGGCCAAATCAATGGGATGGAAAATTGCCAAAATATTTACTTTTCCAATTGACTCTCTTGTTACAAATTACGAGTGCTATCAATTCGGAGTTTTTTTTGTTGATTTTCGATATCTAAATATTCTGAGAAATGCACGAAGTCGATATAAAAATAGTTCGCTCGGGCTCACTTACTTACTTTTTATGTGCGAATCTTCTGGATTCTGACTTTGCTATTTTGTCTTTCTTCTTGCACAATATATATGAAATTTATATGATCATTACGATTGATAATATAGAAAAAAATGTTATTTTCTTAAACTAACAGCCAATCTATCCGATTAATTTTCAACACAAAAGTATTAAAGAACAATTGAATAAGAAAAATCAGATAGCGAGCAATAATGTGTAACACAAATGACCGTTTTTATCAATAAACCACAGAGGAACTTCGGCGCAAAAATCCTTAAAACAAAGAGCTTGGAACTACTCATTCCTCACATTTCATTTAATATCAATCACTGCTTACAAAGTCTCGAGAATGTTCGTACGAGATCGGAGGGTTTCGGGCGTCGAAATCCGTAGCAAACCCTCCAGTGAGGCTGGGACGCTACGAACGTCGAACGTGCGTAGGGGAAGCTACGATACGTAGGGGATCGTCGTACGTACGTCATCGAAATTCGAGAAATACATGAAGTGCCCTGAACTCATATCTCTCCGCAAAAGTGATTCTAAAAACGTGCTATGATGGTGTATTAATATTTTTGAAGGATTAGCGAGTGTTTTCTGCTTTTTGCTTCTACGTTTATGGTATGTATTTTGTTAATAATATAATAATAATAATGTAATATTTTTTTGTATAAAAAGTGTATTCACACTTTTAAACCAATACTGATAAATTGTTCGAAATTTGAAAACTTCAAAATGACTTATTATTCTAGCGAGACTTTTTATTTGTGTTTTAAACGTTATTTTATCAACAATGCTTTTTAAAGAAGTGAATATAAAAATTAATTTATTTTATTTCAATTCCTTTAAATCATGTACTTGACACTTCTCTGAATACATTTTTTTTAACAGTTCAATAATATATACATACATATATATAGATTATTATGTCTATTTTACATATGTATATAGATTTATACAGAAACCTTTTTCACTTGACACAATTTTACATATAAATAAACTTTACATACGATAGAACTTAAAATTTTAATTTAAAATGAAGCTTTATCTTCTGTTATTTTCGAGTGCTTTTTGGTAATGTTAAAAAATCATTTATCATCTGATACTACTGATATATTGCACATATTTTATTAGACTGACAAATATAAAATGATTTTGATCACGTTATGCTAGATGAAAAAAATATTCAAGTGATTATTTATTTTTTAATTATTATTTCTAAAAAACTGTTGTTATATTTTCCGTATTAATTATATTTATTATTATTTACATTCACGTTTCTACAGGAATGATTTTAAAGTATTTGTTAATATAAATATTACATAGTTACAAGTATACCATTTCTGAAACAGTAATAATAAATGCAAATAGCAAACATACACCACGTTATTTTCCCATTACAAAGCAATCCTATTAGTTCGATGATCAGGATAAAGCATTTCCGAAAATTGCTTATTTACAACAACACACGGTTTAATCCTGATTAATTTTTAATCGTATTTTGATTTCATCATTAGCGTAACTACATGTGCCTACTTTAATTAAAAACATCCGTGTTTTTGAGTTATGGTTTCTAATGCAAATCTAGTGACTAAAGTGTTTTAATATCGAGTTCTTAGGTTTTCGCGATTGCTACGCATAGGAAATGAAAGTATTTTTCCGGATATAAATCGCATATATGTGTTTTTTCAAACAAACCAACGTTACGGGCCCGTTACAGTCAACCGTGACCATGGGACTTGTAAGGGGCCCGAAACGTTGGTGTGTTTGAAAAAAGAAATATACGCGATTTATATCCGAAAAAATAGTTTCATGTCCTAAAGTGTGAGTAAGTCAAATGAGTAGCAGTAGGGATTTTTGTGAGAGAGTTCATCTAGGGTAATACTACTACCATGCTTATTTCTGCCGCCAAGCAGTACTGTGCACATTACTGCGTTCCAGTTTTGAAGGGAAAGATTGGTTGTTAGCACCAGGTACATGTCAATTTTATGTCAGTGCCCAGAACTTCGCGGTTAAAACTCGGAGAGGCAATGCAACTGATATAGGTAGCAATGCAAGCGACATCAGACTCACGACTTGCTTGTTCCGTCTTTTCAATTTATAAAAAAAAAAGAATTTTTATTCTTTAATATAAACACTTATGTTGTTTTTGTTATTTTCTTACATGCATAAGGTCTTACTATGTTGTCGAGTTCACTTGTTTTACAATAATTTCATATAAATTGAGTGCAAAGAATGCTTTACGGTTTAGGCCCGCACAGGAAATGAAAATGCAATAGAATGCCCTAAAAATCATTAATCTAAGTAGATTGAAATTTAAGTTTTTTTTTCTATTACTCGTTTAATCAATAAAGTAAATAAATAATATTACATTTTATATTGAGAATATTGTAACTTACTTTTTAAAAAGGGTAGGTACAACCGGCAGCCTGGAACACCTAACACAAAGATCTCTGATCTAGTTTAGATTCCAGTCTCCTACAAATTTTGTCAGTTTAAAAAATTTTTATCTGTTTCTGTGCCAAAAATCGTAACCAAAAATGTTTGGAGATATAATTTATTATTATTATTATTATAACATAATGATCATATCACTGTTTATCCCAAACGCCAATAAAATCGTGGGTAGAATCGAGTATACAATGAATTAAATACAAAGTAAACTCAAATACGAGAGACAGATAATCGTAATTGTAACAAATTGTAATTAAATGAATTTTAACCCAATATCTGTGTTTTTTTAAAAGGAAGAGAAAGCTTTAACTGAAACTATACTAACTGTCTAAACTTCAATGTGCCAACTACTTAGCTTGTAAAATAATATGTAGTGGCATTTCATTACGATGGGGATGATACCCTCGATGACGCTGGAGTATTTAAGACATTATCAATTCCGGGCTTAATTCCGAGTCAAAGCAATTTGAAAAATGGAAGGGGACACTCGCAGGTCACGTTTAGCAGCAATAGGGCTCCTTGTGAAAGAGTTCGTCAAAGGAGGTACTGCCGCCTTACCTATTTACGCACATTATATCAATATGTCATAATGCTAACAAGATATAAATACTTAGATTTTGACCTTCGTCGTGTTGCAGGGTTCTATAGATCTATTTAGCCTGTATAGACCTGAAAACTAATACAGGCCTTAATAGTATTCAATATTCCTTTCGTTCAAAACTCGGCGATATTATCTCTGCAGATAAAGTTACAAAAACCAGAATTCGAACTTGTAATTATCATTGATAATTATCACGATAATTATCTCGATAAATATGCCTTTTTAATTATCATCGAGATAATTTATGAGATTAATTGGAACAACCAATTAATTTCATAAATATCGTGTCATGTGTTTGTGTATCTGAAAAGTATACAAACGTGTCAAATGTAATTATTTTGGTTTTTTTTAATATAAAAATAAGGTCTTAATCGTGTATAAAACGTATTTTATTTACCTCGACGTTTCGAACGCGTTACAACGTCCATTAAGTTCCGCTTTTAAAATCAAACAACGTGGAAGCTTAAATCAATGTAGTGTCAATAAAAAAAAATCACTAACTAAATACCTTTCCTAAAAATTTTTCCTCGTGTTTATTTAGTTTACTCTTTGTGTATCATTTTTAGTCAAAAAGAAAAGAGACAGAACTATGAACTGGCATGAATTACAGTCGGTTATATTTTTCGGATAATTATCAGATAACGATCATGATAATTATCAAAGACAAAGAAAATCTTCAACATGAAAACATACGAGAGACTGTTTATAAGTTCGCCGCCTATGATTAAGGAAGGCCCTGCCTTAGTAAGACAAAATATTATTACCTAAAATTCAAGGAAGCAATACACATAGAGTGGATAGTACCTCCCTCTGAAATCCCGGAATTTGTAACATATATTTTATTGTAATGTATTCCGTTTTGTATTTTTCATGTGTAAGTAGCAAATACTTTACTATGGTAGTGTACTTAGAATAAATGTTTTGTAATTGTACACAAAGTTCGACAAGCAGCGCCAATTCACTCATTAGTTGTTAACAGTTTTTGGATGTGGCGAGAACAATTTTATTGAAATTTGTAATACATGGCTGACGTCAGCCGGGACCATGGGCCCTGTAGAGGGCTCAAAAGGTTGGTTTGTTTAAAACAACACGTATACGCGATTTAATTCCGAAAAAACCCAGTTTCATTTCCTATATCGTCGCCTTAGAGTGAAAACCGCGCATATGTGTTTTCACATAGATCGTTTTTACTGATTTTTGATGAAGAAAAACTTATAAATTTGTTGCTGAAATATATTAATAAAGTAATAATATAGTATCTGAAAGAGGTATAATTTAACTAATTAAAATGTTAACTACAAACATTATTGCGTTTGCTACATTTTACACCATATTTTTATTTTCGTTCGGAAAAATTACATAGACATCACATACGAGGTATTCACTCTAAGACGTAGATAGGTATCAATCGCGCAAACCTAAGAACTCGATATGAAAGTTGTAACTTTAAATGAAACATGGACTTATCAGTATAATCCAGTACCCAAAAAAGAGTCAACGCAATGGATAAACAAGGACAAAACAACCTTTTTTTCTTAATTAATTACCTTTCTAAAAGGACTACAATGCATGATCAATGTTACGCATTTTTTTTTTGGCTGAGGCATACAAAAGAGGCAAGGCAAATAAGCGAACAGTGTGCCGTTTTTGCACGACAATTGACACAGGATGCTCAGAAATTGGCCAACCATGCAATGGTCAACACCTGATTCCCAATGATTTTTTTTAAGTCAAACTTGAAAAAGAACCTACGAGACCATTACGAGACTAAAGATTTCCCGATGATAGTCAGATGAAAGCGTAGGAAGTCATTTTGAAAACGAAGAATATTTTATCAATGGCTTAAAAACTTTTATACTCATAATGTGAAAAATGTATCTCACTCGAAGGAGTCTATATTTAAAAATGAAAAACATAAAATCTTACTTTATTTTCATCAAGTACCCTAGACCACGGTCTTATCAGCCGCCAATCGTATAAATGAATATTGGCTTTTGTGAAAACTGACATCAAGGACACGAGAGACGTAGGTTGGATGTCCGTACGACACTTTACGTCATACTATAATTTGACATCGACGTCTCTAGACTACTGAAAAATAGAGGGCACTTTACAAATGTTGTTGAAGGAAATTGCTTCGAAATATTCCATTCTCGAAGTCATTTATGTATCTTTTTTGACTAAACTTGTTTTAAAATTAGTAAGAAAAAAGATCTCTCCCAATTAAATTTAATATACTTTAATAAAACAACCTTAAGAGCCTTATGCACACGGCGTATTTTATACGTGCCGACGACGCGCGTATACGCACCGCAGACGCGTTTTTGTTTGTTAATTTCAGTTACTTTCTAGAAATGAAGTAACTACATATATACTATATACAGCTTATATACTTTACTGAAGTCTACACTTAGAATTTCAAGTGTAGACTTCAGCAAAGTATATAAGCTTCTCGCTTGCAACGCAATGTTTACGCGCGTTTAAATCGACTCACTACAGCACGTCCGCGGTGCATATACGCGCAGATGACGCGCGTTTACGGCACCGTGTCGTAAACGCGCGTTCG